CATACATATATATATATACATATATATATATATACATATACATATACATATAATATAAAGACTAAAGGAGATGTACAATTCAAGAGACAGTAGCTTCATCAGTGCCTAAGTACTAGATTACTAGATTTTAATGAGGACATTAAAATGGGAGAAAAAAAACAACTAAGGGATTTTCTGATATTGTACTAGATTAGATCTCCCTTTTCAAATGAATCATTTGTTGTTCATTAAAACGTATTGCACACAACTGTGAAAAACAGTGTTCTTAAATTACATCTAAATTACAGTTCTTCTATTTAGCATCTTTCATTACCTTAAAACTTTATTCTGACTTGTGACTAAATGCATTTCTGGACCGATTACACCCCTGACACATCTGCTAATCAGCAACAACCACAAGAACTTAAAGGGGTCATATGATGCTGCTAAAAAGAACATTATTTGGTGTAATGAAATGTGTTTATGCGGTTTAAAGTAAAAAAAAACACATTATTTTCCACATACTGTACATTATTGTTTCTCCTCTATGCCCCGCCTTTTTGAAACGCGTAGATTTTTACAAAGCTCATCGGTCTGAAAAAGCGAGGTGTGCTGTGATTGGCCAGCTATCCAATGTATTGTGATTGGCCGAATACCTCAAGTGTGAGACGGAAATGTTACGCCACTCACATACTGCTGATACCGTGCCCGGCCGGAGCGACGAGACAAATGCATTAAAACCCATTACAAACGAGGCATTTGTTGCATCCAGTGGGGGCAACTTTACAGATCTTCTTTATGCACCAAGAGTTTGTAACACTCCAAAGAGAAAGGAAAAATTGAAATCGCATCATATGACCCCTTTAAATTTATTTATCCATTAGGACCTCATAACCATTAAAATTTTGGGTACTGAGCATGTTTTTCTTTCTTAGTTGGGGGGACCCACCTGTCTGCCGGTCCTTCTCCACACAGTAGCAGTTGTCATAGAACTCTGTGAAGGTGGTGGCCAGCTCGTAGAGGTAGTCACACAATGTGTGAAGCAGCAGGTCATCTGTGATCTTTTGCAGAATTTCAGGGAAGCGCAGGATGCACTTACCCAGTTTCCACTCTTTCTCATGGTCCAGTAGGACCTCCGTGGTCTCGGCTGCTTTGTGCAAGGTGGCCTCCTGGATGTTAGCCAGTCTAGCTATAGACCTGGAGATAAATGGAAGAATGGGTGTTATAGTACATATTATGAATCTCATTTCTGCATGGTCAAACTAGACACATTATGTTGGGTTGAAAATCAAATTGAGCTTATTGACAGCAAACCCTGAATACGAAACTGTATTATCAATTATTAGCAACTAAATGTTTATTTTTTTATTTCTGTTATTTGCATTCTGTCATTTTAATTTAATTTGTGTGCGTTCATTGTTCTAGCTTTTTAGTTTTAGTGTTTTCTTTTTTTTCAGTTTTAGTACTTTATGGCTTCAAAAGGTAATGTGCTTACTGTATATCGTTGCTGTTACATTTCCATCAAGTTTGTTAGAGTATTTATTTTTTTCATTTATTTAACTAGTTTTGATGCCATGAAATTGTATATTAGTTTAAGTTTTTCCTAGTAATGCTAGTTTTTATTTCCGTTAACAAAAATATTTTAACTTAGTCATCAATGATAATTATACTGCCATACGCAAATACAATTTCAGGGGTAAGGTGGATTAACAGGTTTTCAGTAAATCATTTAATTTCATTTAAATTTTCGGTCCGTTTAAAAATGGCTTCATAAAAACATGGAAAACAGCTCCTAAGTCATATGAATCATTTTATGATAAGTTTTCATTACAGTATGTTTCTACTGTGTGGAAAATAAGCAGATAGAACTTCAGATTTTCTTCTTTTGTTTTATTATTGAGATCAACACAGGATAAGATTAATGGAAATGGCGAAACAAAAATTGTAAGTGCACAAAGGAAAGAAGTGACATTTAACTGCTGCAACATCTCATATAATAAGAAAAACATTATACAAGCAAAAAAAAAAACATCACCATGACTAAGTGTCTAAAAGTACATTCTGCCAGAGCATTAGAGGATCAGGTTCAGTTCAATGCATTTTGAAGAACCAAATGCTGAAATCCCCACCAACTGCTGCCATGGCCAATTATTATTATTTGGGCTCTGCTCCTGTCATTGGATCAGATTTTCAACTTCACTTCTTCCAAATATGATTTTCTATTACCAATTGTTAAGAACAGCCCACTAAAGATAGGAAAAAGCTTTCCAAATGCATGAAATGAATGAAACCGGAGGGACTGAGGTACCCCAAGCTCCTGACATCAGGTTATCAGAGCAAACACAAGGTGATAAAGAGTAAAAATAAAAGAGCACTTGTGCCGAGCATCCACTAGGATGCCAACATAAGTAGATCTGTCACAAACACACACATTATAGCCAGAAAAACACAGTGACTGCAAAATAGATGCATGTATTCATTCATTTGCACAAACTCAAACCTCCTGTGTCCTACATACATATCAGTGAAGATGGGTCAATACTGTAATATAGACAATATAGGACATAAGAAAGCCATTCAATGTCCATAGCTCATTAGTCAACTAGAAAAAAAAATCTAGAGAATTTTGCTAAATATATGCACTGTATTAAATATTCTTTATATTTTTAGAGATGTCTTCAAGAAGACAGAATCACGATTCATATATGAACAGATTTTTACGTGCACCTCTACCGTTTACCGTTTTCTCTTCCTCTTCTGTAAAGCAGCACAGCATGGCCTCGCCCCCTTTGCTGCGTGTTCCCGGGGGCGGGGTTTATCTGGGTTCGTGACGTAACGAACCCGGGAAGTAACTCGTTGTAGTCCCTTACCAGCCGTTTTTGTAGGCATTAAACTGCCAGAATTTTAAAAGACGATATCTCCGTTTGCATTGAACTTTCAGCACTGCAACTTTGCAGATATTGTTTATGCTCAAACAGCAACATTACACACTAACTAACGTTAAAAAAGTGAAATCGCAATCAACCACCCCTTTAATGTATGTTGAAATAAATATGTCATGAAAAGAAGTTATGACAGCCACTGTTGATTATTTAAAAAATAAACAGCAATTTAATTTTATAGTTTGTTAATTTTAACCTTTAATATTATAGCAATGTAGCAACTGACAATTCCTTGAAGAATTTACAGTTTTAATTTAGAATTATTTATTTTTCCTTAAGAAAAACTAATGTGTACTGTACCGGACACATATTCAAATGAATCGAATCAGAATTTGTGAATCAGAATCTAATCAAATTGTGAAATCTGTGTCAATAACCAGTCCTACATAAGGGTTTCCATAATAAGAATTAATGTATGAGGTATGTATTTTTTGTATAATTGTTTCTTTTCTTTTCTTTTTTTGGTTCTGATATTTTGGTTAAAACTAAAATCTTATTATGAACTAAAATCTTTTCATATTTTAGAATAAATAATTAGATACCATAAAAAAAAAATTTGCACCACATCACTGATGCAGATCAATACCCAGCAGGGCTCATTTGATGTGGATGAAAATATCCATATCCAATACCTGATGCGTGTAAAGGCATAGAGGAGATAGGCCGCAGTGTTTCCCCTGTCATCTAGCATCTTGTCGAAGGAAAAGATGTAGTCATTGATGCGGTTGTGTGAAAGGTCTGCATATTTAATGCATCCAAAAGCCACAGCACGCTGAGCCTTCAACAGCTCTTCCGGGGTCAGAACCTGCAACATATGGTTTCAAAAAATTGTGAGGTTAGAGCAGGCAAGACTTTGCCACCCTTACAAAAAACAAGTAACCAAGTATGTTCCGAATACTCAAGGAGGAAAAAATTAGCTAATCATAAAATCAAATTAGTGACATTTCACAGGTAAAAAAAAAAAAAAAGGGTCTTTTTTTCCAATGGTTTAGTTATGTATGACGCACTACTCGCATGGACGTCACTTTCAAACCAAGAAGCTTTAAAAATCTGCATGACCTACTTGAACACGAGTGAAATCTGTGCGGTGAACTTCATGAAACTACAGATCATGCTGATTCCTATAGAAATGATGACTTCACCTATGAAATTTTACAGAGGTAAAAGTGACTGCACTTTTACACTTGTATTACTATATTTGATTTTTACGGATGTGTGTCCATTTAAAGGAGAATGAACATAACTAATAATAAGAGTGCTATAACAAGATAAAAAAAATAGCTTTAGATCAGCAGATCAGATTGAATGTTGGCTCTGTCCTACACCATTGGTTCAAACTGATTATACTCACAGGAATATTGCATGATTAGACACCTGCTAACTTTTCTGCCTATGAAAACTTAAAAAAACGTATGTGTGCCATTAACATTCCCAAAAAAAAAAAATGAAAAAAAAAAAAAAAAAAATTTTAAGGACTC